CCCCTCGCTACTACTAAGTAAAAGGTAGATGAAGTCCCCATATCCTCGACCGAATCCCTCCTCTCTCCCACACTCTCCCATTCCCCTTCTCCTCCCACCCGTGATTCGCGTCCACACCCACCGCCGCCGCCGCCGATCTCACACCTCGGCGCCTTCCCCAAATTTGGTGACCTCCTCTCCCATCGCAGCCCCCTCCCCGGCCCCTCCTTCCTCCTTCTCCTCTGCTGGAAGGAGAGGGAAACCAACAAAGCATAGTCCATGGCGGCGGCTAGATCCACCATGGATGCAGCCACTTGCACCTCCTCACCTGGACAAGGCCTCCTGAGGACATGCGAGCCCCATGGTCAAGGGTCCTACGACAAGCAGTAGCAGGTCACCGGGCTTCATCTAGGCTTCGAGCGTCGGCTCCAACTTTGGCGGCCACCAATGAGTTCCTCCTCCTCCTCCTCTCTATCTCTCTCTTCCTCATTCAAATAATGTTCTCTTCTTTTGTAGCAGCAATAGAGATGAGAGGTGCGGGAACGAGTTGGGTGGGGAGCCACCATCACCATGGACAACTCCATCCCCTCCAGGACCAGCAACAACCATGGTTGGAGAGGACGATGACGCCCAGCAGCAACAAACATGGATGGAATTTATTTTTTTAATTCCCAATTAGTTAACAGTAGCGCGGGGCCCTGACCCGCGCTACAGCTAAGTAGTAGTAGCGCGGGCGTCAACCACGCTACTACTATCAGAAGTAGTAGTGGCGAGGGTTATACACGCGCTACTGCTACAAGTTAGCTATGGCGCCGTATCAGTAGCGCGGGCACCCGCGCTACTGATACACCCAAAACCCGCGCTACTGCTAGGCTTTTCCCTAGTAGTGGCAGCTACCCCTGCCACCTAGCCGACACACTCCTGCGCGGATGCACACTTGAAGAGCATTAAGAAATCGTCCATCCATCGTCGACCATGGGAGACCGGACCATATGCCCATGCCACGCTAGACACCGTCGACTATTCCCGCCACCTCTCGCGCCCCGTCGCCACGCAGCAAGTGTCGCCGCTAGATCCTCACCACCATGCGTCGTGCCACCATGGCAACAAAGGTGAGTGCACGAGCCCGCCGCCACCTTCTCATGTGTCACCAGGGCTTTGGCGGCGACCCCTCTGATGATGGCAGAATGCGAGAGAGAGGAGGAGAAGGAAGAGTGTGGCGGCGGTTAGCGTTCGCATGATTTTTCATCGGAACTCATGTAACTTAATCAATACAACTAATATAGGCGATGAAGGAGAAGAACTTGGTTCTGTCGTGAGTTTCTTCTGGTTCCCACTGTTTCCGGCGCACCATGAGGCGAGGGGAACCACACATTTATGTTATAGAGAAGTTATAGTCGATTCTTCTTCTTTATGTGAAAAGGGCCCAAATCTATTAAAAAGGTTCATAAGAAGTACAAAGCACCCTAAACATAATAAAAATTATATTAGGGACCATGCACCGCGGAACGACCACTACTGTCGCTAGAACGAGTCGTCAACACGTCAATGTTTGCTGCTCCCGTACTGGAGACGGTTTGACCTTGTCGATGATAAACATGAAGTCTTTATGCACGTGCCCCTAAGTGCCAGCGCCCCATAGCCGTAGGCATTACCATTGAACCCTTGAATTGATATAAAAAGAGTGGCACCAAAATCTCGCTGGTGTGCACACAGTAAGAAACCCTAACCTCGCCTTCCGAAGGAGACATCGGGAATCAATGACAGAGCTCCGTCTGACTCCATTGCAATGGACAAACTCAAGGAAGATGAAGCGCTGCCACTGGTTGGAACGCCCCCGCGAGAAAAAAATTTCCTAATCTAAACTACTAGCCGAAGCTGAGGCACCTAGACGCCCTCCTCGACACTGGCCGTATGAGCAGTAGGCAGTGGCGAAGTGGATCTACAGTCTTCCTAATGAAGCTTGGACGGGATTGGTGCCTGGCTGCCACAAACTGGAGAGGGAAAGAGAAGCCTAATGGAGATCTAGTACTTTATAATATGCTATGTTCATGTGTTCTCGGCGTTGCCAATGCGCCCGACACCAAAGAGTGTGTGATATTGGAGCCCCGCAGATTGGCAAGCCCCGATCTTGAAGTTCGGTGTCTCATTTTTTTTCTTTTTTTGAAAAGGGGGTCTTCCCGTCCTCTGCATCAGAATGATGCATACAGCCAACTTAATAAAATAGCAAATAGGTTCAACCAAGGTCTTAAAGTCTGAACAAAAGTAAAGAAAAACTCACATCGAGCCAATAAAAAGTAGCCATAATGCCAAAACCGGCTGGCATAAGAAAGATAGGGAAACTAATTGCCTATCCTATTACATGACCGCCATCCAAACCGGTTGAAAATATCCCGTGCTACCATCTCCCACCGGGTAGATCCAGTAACCAAACGCTCCCTGGCCTCCGTCGGAGTGAGTAGCGACCACATACGAATCTTCCTATCCTATTACATGAACGAAAGTTCGGTGTCTCATGCTTTGACCTGCCTTGGGGGTTGGTGGGCAGCGAAGAAGTGTCAAGTGGGCTTTGATTAGATTCCCGCTTCGATCTTATGTATTACCGATCTTCTTGACTGACAGTTCGGCGATAAATCAAGGGTTTGACAACTTGCCTTGTGAGGGGTGTATCCCCAACCACAACATGTTCAATGATGATAGATTCTGGCATGGACTTATGCGGCTCTTCAGAACCTTCGATATTATTTCAGTCTGTGGCTCAATGTAATTTCCGTCTTCTTTGGATTCATAACCCAAGTTATGGTGGAAAGTTGAGATGCAAAAGGTGAAGCTAGAGATGACAACTTCGAAGAATCCGAGTGTAACTTTCAGTTTTATCATGGATCTTTGTCATTCATTTGTATTCCAATTTGTTGGATTTGAGGTACTTTACATAATGAATCGGTAAATTTGGATCATTTGCTAAAAGAACAGTTCACAATTTACCAAAAAAATTAACAGCTCACGACTGCTCAAAGGGATATATATTAAATAGATATACAAACTTGTGAAATTAATATCTCTTTGAGTATTAGCAGGTCATCAGCAGTTCTACATGACATAAGAACATTTGACCGACTGATCAGCAGTTCAGTTCAGCCAACGTAACAGCATGCCTACCTACCAGGTTCGTCATGGAGTTCAATCTCAGCCTCACTCACTCACTCGTGCTATCTTAATAAATCAAAATCCCCTTATTTTCCTGATTTATCTGTCTTGGTTGTCGAGCGTTTCATATGTATCCAGCCGGGCACCCTCGATCAGAGGCAGCACGATGATTCTCTTGGCATGCCCATCTCTTCCACCGGAGGCGCGTCGACGATGGTCATCTGCACTCCATCCTCCCGCTCCGCTAGGCGGCCCCTCCTCTCCCGATGCTCCTGGCAGTTTGCGCACCAGTGCAGGCAGCAATGGACCATACAAGGGTCGCATGGCAGTTCTAGTGGAAACAAGTAGGAGGTAAAATCACTAGAATCAAAGTAGCAAATTTTGACCCAACAACTGGGGACGAGACATAACCACAGAATGTAGTGAAGGGTTTCATATTTCCACCTTGAGATGGTACTTTTTCTGGAGCTCCTGACGGAAAATGCCGGTATAGGTACCAAACAGCCACCAGCTGAACAGTAGACCTTCTCCAATAAGAAACGACGATCTTGGATCAACCCCATGGAATATTGCTGTCAGGATCGCAAGGGCGATGCCTCCTTCCACAAAGACGGCATGACAAACACACGGTGCTGTCCATGGGGTATCCTCTTTAAGAGCCGCAACATTGCGCCCGAACAACACGCATGGACAGAAGCATCCAGTTCGGCCTAACACATGAATAAATGCAGAGTTTTACAATCAGCTAGCATTCTGTGGAAACAACATGCTAGACATAGCTTCATCAAGAAGGATACATTAGTTTAAGAATGGAAGACAAAAAATAGTAGTCGAATGTTTATGTTCGACGGCTCGATGAGCCAGCTTTCGACGATTCCTTAAGCAGGATCACCATGAGACCAATATATATGAACTAACAATGTATACAGACACAGCACATGCTTACCTAATAATAGAGTATAGTCAAGTCAAAGACACTACAGCTATGGCAAATGTTAGCAGAAATAAATAGGTTTAAAGCAAGAGAGGCAACTTGACAGTGCACACCTTGTTTTCTCGATAAAGGGAACCTTTATTAACTCATAGTAGTATCAAGCGGGTACAAAGCATATTGAGTAGCCATCCGGCCTCGGCATGACTAGGATGCAACTAGTCAAAACGAACAGTCTCATAGTGTAAAGAAGACATTAAGGCAAAAGTAAAGTCATATAAGACTGAAACTTTGACTAGCTATGTAGGAGAGGGTGGAGGTTCTCTCCGACGACTATGCCACCACACATGTTGGCTAAAAAGATATATTCTATTATGCGATCCACTTATGTTCAAGATATGCATAACTGCTTACAATAGCAACAATTTGCGGGTGACACACAAGAGGCAAAAGAAAACATAAATAAACATTTAATAAGTCAAGCAAGGAATAAATATACAATCAACCAACATAAATTTATCCTGATCTGCATTGCAATACAAAATTCAAGAAACAATATATACTAATATATGGGCGAATGGTGAAGACATAGGTGAGGTGCTTAATATAACATAAGTCAGAACAATTTACTACTCAAGGTTGCTTAGGAACAATTTCAGACATTGTAAGTATAACATTTATTCCATGATTTATGAAAAATAAGCACTGTTCTTATTCCTATTATCTGCACAGATGAGAAGTTAGTGTTTCCTCACTCTCTGAGCATACAAAATTAAATGTAGTGTTAAACATAGTTAGTTCTACTCTAAACTTGTACTCCCTCCGTCCCAAAATAAGTGTCTTAACCTTAGTATAATTTTGTACTAAAGTTAGTACAAAGTTGAGACACTTATTTTGGGACGGAGTGAGTATATATATATGCTCTTAGTGGGGAATTGGGGATTCAGGACCTTGATCCAACAACATAAGTGCCGTCTTATGAAATGTTGCTCAAGCTAATTGCGGAAGAAGTTTTTAGTACCTACAGAATAGATATGCCACTATCGCCTCTGTTTTTTTTAGAACACCCTGAGAGGGACAGAGAATTCCTTCATTACATTATAGAAGAAGAGAATTGCCTGGTTAATCAGGGATAACCGGGCGAAAACCCGATACAGAGGCACGGTTAACTGAGAAAAAACGGCAAAAACCACACCCACACCATATGACTGATAAAGGGACAACCATGGAAAAAAAGCGCCCCCACGATTTATTAAGGTACAACATGCAAAAAAAACGACCACATGATTGATTAAGGCACAACGTGCAAAACCCCCCACAACCATGAATAGATCCCACCGCCCATGAAACGCCGGAATGCCACCAACGCAGAGCGAAGGCGCGGCCCCACCTCATAAGGCCACCACCGCACTGCCGCCCGAGGTCGCCACCCGGGCATCCAACCAGCAAACTCGAGACCACCATCTCGACTTCCACGACCTCCGCCAACGAGACCAATCAACACGGCAATAGCACAACCAACAGATGCAGGATGGGCCTCCAAAAGCAACGGCCCCAAGGGGGGAAACGAAAAACACTCCACCATCATCCATGTTTTAGAGCATTTCCAGCCGTTCGGCCCCCCAGGGCGCCGAAAAAGAGCGGCCTGGGGGCGAGCCGGCGCTAGTTCGGCCCCTGGGGTTCGTTTCTCTCCAGCCACGTGTCCAAGTACCTCCCCCGAAGGCGCTCCATATTCGAAATTCATCATTCCTGCTCAAAGAAACAACAAACCGGCGATCATCGCAATAGTTCGGCAATTCATAGTGCCACAGTTCGGCGATCAAATGTAGTTCGGCGTACAAAAAAGGAAGGATGCTGTTGGTGTCAAAACCGGCGGATCTCGGGTAGGGGGTCCCGATCTGTGCGTCTAGGCGGATGGTAACAGGAGACGACGGACACGATGTTTTTACCCAGGTTCAGGCCTTCTTGATGGAGGTAAAACCCTACGTCCTACTTGCTTAATATTGATGATGTGGGATACAAAAGTAGATCTACCACGAGATCAAGGAGGCTAAACCCTAGAAGCTAGCCTATGGTATGATTGTTGTTCGTCCTATGGACTACAGCCATCCGGTTTATATAGACACTGGAGAGGGCTAGGGTTACACAGAGTTGGTTAGAAAGGTAGGAGATCTACATATCCGTATCGCCAAGCTTGCCTTCCACGCCAAGGAAAGTCCCATCCGGACACGGGACGAAGTCTTCAATCTTGTATCTTCATAGTCTTGGAGTCCGGCCGATGATGATAGTTCGGCTATCCGGACACCCCCTAGTCCGGAACTCCCTCAGTAGCCCCTGAACCAGGCTTCAATGACGACGAGTCCGGCGCGCATGTTGTCTTCGGCATTGCAAGGCGGGTTCTTCCTCCGAATAATTCATAGAAGATTGTGAACACCAGGATAGTGTCCGGCTCTGCAAAATAATTTCCACATACCACCGTAGAAAGAATAATATTTACACAAGTTCAATCTGCTGACGTATTTGATGGCGTGACGTCACACCACTACCAAGCCTTTACTTAAATTGTCTTTATTGCAAGGCGGGTTTCCTTGGCACGTCTTGTCGAAGCAGAGATCGTGTTCCCCTTATTTCGGGATTCCCATCAATACGAATGTGGGTAACCCAACCGCGCCATTGATTGCGGCGCTTGGGGGATAAGCGAGTTTTATCAGGCCGGTGGGGACGCATGTTTGCGTCCACCTATATAAGGAGATAAAGATCTAACCCTTTTACCTGCGCCTTCTTCCTCCTTGGCTTATCCATCTCTGCGAACTCGAGCTCCAGCGCCCAAGTCCGCACTTCTCACCTCAACCTTCTCCAACTATGTCCGGAGCGGGAGGCAAGTGGATGGCCTCCTCCGTCACGGAGGGGCAGATCCAAAAGCTGCGCGACGCCGGATACTTGTCCAGCGACATCGCGCATCAGCTCCCCGACGAGGGAGAGCTCATCCCCACCCCCATGCCCCATGAGAGGGTAGTGTTTCTTCCCCATTTCCTCCGTGGACTGGGCTTCCCACTTCATCCCTTCGTCCGGGGGCTCATGTTCTACTACGGCCTGGATTTCCATGATCTGGCCCCGAATTTCATCCTCAACATCTCGACGTTTATCGTCGTGTGCGAGGCCTTCCTCTGCATCTAGCCCCACTTCGGCTTGTGGCTCAAGACCTTCAGTGTCAAGCCGAAGGTTGTGAAGGGCAGCCAAGCGGAGTGCGGAGGCGCCATGGTGGGCAGGATGTCCCACGTTACGTGGCTGGAAGGCACTTTCGTGGAAACCATCAAGGGGTGGCAATCGGGATGGTTCTACATCACTGAGCCGCGTGACGCCGATTGGGCGGCGGCCCCCGAATTCAGATCTGGCATCCCTACATGGCTTACCTCCTGGAAAGAGAGTGGCCTGATCTGGGGGAATTCGGAGGAGCTGACCGGACTCCAAGCCTGCATCCAGAAGCTGGTGGACAAGAAGCTCAAACTTGTCAACGTAGTCCAGGTCATGCTCATCCGCCGGATTCTCCCGTGCCAACGACGGGGTTTCAACATGTGGGAGTTCGATCCGGCGCAGCACCAGACCCTGAGCGGGCTCTTCGACACTACGTACGAAGATGTCTGGAAGGTGCTGTTCAAGGGCGCCGAAGCCCGGCTGACGAGGTAAATGATTTTGTCCTTTAAGGGACGCGTATTTTCCATAGTTTGACTCTATGCGGGATCTAAACTCCCTTTCCTTTGATAGGACTGGCTGAAGAAGGCCGCACAGGCTATCTGTACGGCCCCATTGCCAGAGGACCCAGCGGACGCCCGTTTGACGGGGTTGCTGGCTCCGGCACCCCATGTGGTGCCGGAGAAGAAGGCCAAGAAGAAGGCCACGGGGACTCGGAAGAGTTCCCATTTTCAGGTGCTATTGGATGATGAATCCGAGGCCGACTCCTCCCACCAAGGCGAGGAGGAGAAGAAAGCCTCTCCCCCAGCAGAGGGAGGGAAGAAAAGGAAGGCCTCCCCAACAAGGGAGGCCGAAGGGTCCAAGAAGGGAAAAACTCTTCCCCCGGACCGCTCCGCCAACGCCAGTGACGACGACGAGGACTGGCCTCCAAGGGCCAAGCCCCTGGCGAGATCGTAAGTATCCGGACTCCCGAATAACTTCAAGGTTTTTTCTTTTCGCCACATAATGTCTTTCTAATGCCGCATACAACCCTGCAGTCCGCCCAAGGATGATCTTCCTGTTTCGTCGAGCGGGTCCTTGGGTGCGTCGGATATGGATTCCCTTCCGACTGCCTCCACCCCCCGTGCCACGG